AAATTAAAAAGAAAAAAAAGAAAACATGTCAGACTAAACAGCTTTTTAAGAAAGGATACTTTTCATCAGTGATAATTAAGTCGAGTAAGGCCCCATGGAAGAGAGGAGAATAAGATCAGAATTTTAGGCTAGGATTCTTGTGCTTTTAAGTACTATAAATTCTAAAAGAAATTTCATGTAGAAAAAACTGAAAATAAATATATATATATATATATATATATATTTTTTTTTTTTTTACTGAATTTGAAACAGAGCTGCTATATACTTCAAAAATGAGGACTAACCTTAGGATCCTGTCCAAATTTCTGCTCTAAGTCAGTGGTTCTCAAACTTTAGGAGGTTTTAGGAACTACTAGAAGGCTTCATAAAGCACAGATTGCTGGACCACAGCCCCAGAGTCACTGGTCCACAGGCCTGGGGGGGGTGGGGGTGGGGGTGGGGGGCCAAGAATGCAATTCTAACAAGTTCCCAGGTGACGCTGAAGCTGCTGGTCCAGGAACCCTATTTTGAGCACCGCAGAGAATCTAACTCTTATACCGACTCCCTTGAGATTCTCACTCAACAGGTCTGGGAAAAGCTGCAGAGGTGGTTTTGATGTGTGCCAGTCTCCGAGATCCCCTTTCGCTCTAAAGCTCGGTGTTTGGGGATTTTGTCACAGGAGATCCTTGGTCTGGCTCTGCAGCTCAAATCCTCCGCAGTTCCCTCCGTGGGCATCTCAGCACACGAAAGCAGAGCCAGAATGCTCAGAGAATGAAGGTGGGAGACAAAAACTTGGTTTTACAGCTGTTGGCAGAATTTGCAGAAGGAGAAAGCCGGAGCCTGAAACTACAGATTCTCACTTCTCTTGCTCCCGCCTCCATCCAGAACACGGGAAATGCAGCGTTGGCCTCGCTGACCATCGGTGTCATGAGAGAATGCCCAGAAGTCTGCAACTACCATACGACTTCTATGTCCATTTGTTTCCTTGTCTGTGGTTTTAAGATTCAATTTGCAATCAGCCGTAAAATGTGCTCTGGAAGAGTGGTCAAGAGTGATCTTGTGGAGTCAGCTGGAGTCAAGTCTTACCTCTGTCATTTGTTCCTGAATGACTCTGAGAGGGTTATTTGATATTTCTTTTTCTTTAATTTTTTTTTTTTTTTTTCTGAGAGAGAGAGAGAGAGAGAGAGAGCGAGCGCACACAAGTGGGACAGGGGCAGAGAGGGAGGGAGACACAGAATCCGAAGCAGCTCCAAGCCCTGAGCTGTTAGCACAGAGCCCGACGCGGGGTCTGAAGTCAGGAACTGCGCGAGATCATGACCTGAGCCAAAGTCGGATGCTTAACCAACTCAGCTACCCAGGCGCCCCAGTTATTTAATATTTCTAAACCTCAGTTTCCTTTTCTATAAGATAAGCAATAGCTCCACCTTCTACATATCATTGTTGTTAGGGGCGAATGAGAAAATGTATGAAAAGCACACAGAATAAGGGGTCATAAACCACAAACAATCCTTAACTACTAACAAAAATTCTACGAAAGTCCGAGAACAGGTGTCAATTTTAACGTTTGAGAAGCTAGAATTACACTAAATATTTATTGATTGATTTGTGTGGTTGTATGTTTATTATTTGGCCCTGGCCCCCCGGGCCTGGACTCACTACGATTATTTTTCAATGAGACAGCTAAGAGAGGTTTACCTTCAACTTAGAGGTTCCCACCACCCTCATGAGCTACTTTGAATAAGTACCAAATATCATCAAATATAAGACCTCTGATCCTAAGACGCGACACTGTATTATGTGGCGGTTAAAAAAAATGTTGCCAATTAAACTATCAGATGATGCTTTCTTATCTGTACTTGCAATTTTCATTTCAGACCCTATGAAGTCGCTCTTTCAGACTTCGATTTTTAAAACATTTATCATCCTTTTGCCCACATAAAAAGGAAAACATAGGCAAAATAAAGTCATTTAAAACGTTCCTACGTGGGGCGCCTGGGTGGCTCCGTCGGTTAAGCATCTGACTCTGGATTTCGGCTCAGGTCACGGTCTCACAGTTGTGGGATGGAACCCGGCGTAGGCTCTGCCTGAGCGTGGAGCCTGCTTGGGATTCTCTCTCCCTTTCTCTCTGCCTCTACCCCCTTGTGCGTATGCTCACTCACTCTTTCTCTCTCAAAATAATGAATAAATATTACAAGAAATATTCCTATGTTGTCTTCACGCTCAGTGCCCCCATCTTCCGAATCCCTTGTTTGACTCAGAGTGTGTGTCATTGCTTATTAACTCCGTATCACCCTTGGTACCGTCGGGGGTACTGGTGAGGCAGCATTTCTTAAGAGAATCCTACAGGACTAAACGCTCTTGGGGCTGCGCTGTTTGTTGGCCTAGTTTTGATTCCTGCCTCAAAAATACCGCCAAGCATGTGATGACTTCTCATTTTCCCCACTCCCTCTCCCATAAGCATTTGGCTCTTGGGGTTTAAAGAGGGCTTCACCCTTCCTTCTGGGAGTTGGCTGCAAGCAACGGACACCCATTTCCCAAGTTTGGACACTGCTGCCTTTGAAGTTCATGGACATGTAGGTAACGACGGCTGTGGCCTGGCCAACAGACTGTGAGGCATCTTCGATCCTAAGGTGCATCGCGATTTTACAGACGTTGGGGTCAATCAGGCCCTGAATGGAACCCTGCTGAGATTCCGCTCTGGTAAGCGCAGAAAACACAGGATTACTATTTAACGGCCTTTGCATTGCACTAATTTTTTTTTTTCCATAATAGCTTTGTCGAGATAAAATTCACATGCTCTACAATTCACTCATTTAAAGTGCAACATTCTATGCTTTTCAGTATCTTTGTGATGTATACCAATAAATCAATTTTAGAACAATTTCATCACCCCAGAAAGAAATCCTGGACCCATTAGCAACCTCTCCCCATTCTTCCCCCAACTCCCAGTGCTCCGGTAATTAATCTACTTTTCATGTCTACGGATCTGCCTCTTCTGGGTATTTTATATACACGGAATCACGATATGCGGCTCCTCTCACTTTGCATAACGTTGTCAAGGTTCACCCGTGCTGTAGCCTGTATCAGTTCTGCACACCCTTTTCCCGTTGACTAATATTCAACTGTATGGATATACCACATTTGATTTATCTACTGGAGCCGATGGACGCTTGGGTTGTTTCCACTTTTTGGCTATCGTGAATAATGCTGCGAGCGTTCATGTGCAGATTTTCGTGTAAATGGATGTTTTCATTTCTCCCGGGCACATCCCCAGGAGTGGAATTGCTGGGTCTTTCAGTGACTCTATGTTTAACTGTTTCAGGAACTGCCAGACTGTTTTCCAAAGCAGCTGTACCATTTTACAATCCAGCTGGCAAAATATGAGGGTTCCAATTTCCCCACATCCTTGTCAACATTTGTTATTATCTCGTCTTCTTGCTTATTGCTGTCCTGGTGGGTGTGAACGAGTATCTTCATTGTGGCCAACGCACTTATTTTTAAAGGATTTCTCCCTTGCATTTGCTCATTCGGTCCACACAACATCTGTCCCCATTCCTTACCCACAGTCAAGGAAGCAAACACAAAGACTGATTCATTGACTTGCTCAAGATAGCTCAGTTAGAGACAGCACGTCAGCTAGTAAGATGCTTCTTCGATTCTGGGCCCATTGCTGTTTCACCACACCAGGCCACTGGAACCTCAGGAGAGCTATCTGCTACAGAGTGGGGACAAGGGCGATGACAGATCTGGGGTAAGCTGGGGAGCGTGGGGAGGACGCAGCATGGCGCCACCCCGTGAGATGCTGTGATACCGCTGCTGGCTTTCACAAGACGGCAACAGCTAGTAAACCACATTGGCCAGGAACAGCTCACTAAGACGAATCTGATTTTGGGAAAAGGCCCGGTTGTAGCTTGCGAGGTACAGAGGCAAAACAAAATCTACGACTTGCAGCAAAGTCTATGGGGCGGTGTTCACAGCTTGTAGTAAAAGGCTGTGCAATCCAGGTTGGTCTCTTTTGGGCACATCTGTCCTTGGAATTATGACATTGAGGAAGAATAATATTCTAGCTCTGCCCCTCCCACCCCACCCCCCCCAGAAGGAATAGATGTCAGCCTCAGTTGGTAAGCGGGATTCATTACTTTCCGTGTTCATGAACTGAGAGTGCGAAAGAATTTTTGCTGATGCTTACATTTTCTATTCATGAACTATCTCCTTTATGTGCAAAAAAATCAATATTTTATGAAATGATCTCCTTGGAGGTTATAAGCTCTACAGCACCACTCTTTTCTAGTCAAAGAAAATCTGCATGTTACTAAACCCCAGCCGAGCGGGGGTAAAGGCCTCTAAACGAAGAGCTTCCTTACCTCACTAGCAAAGTCAACTTCTCAACACTGGACCGTGACCTTGTGTTGGGTTTACAGAGTCCAGCAGGTCGACGAGCGTGTGGTGTATCTATTGAAACCAAAAAAAAATTTTTTTTCAGGATTTGTCCGAAAGATGCGTTCCATTCTTAGCATAGGAACAACAAAGAGATGTTATTGAGAGGGCCCACTCACTCTCTGCAGAGGCTGGTGTGGTTCAAAGCACTGGAATCCTTTTCATATCTGACACCTGCTAAGGTCATCCTGATCATGCCCACAGCAGCTGCTACCTGTGGCCCCTGGCACCGCTTTTGTTCTTGTTGGGCTTTTTTGGTTTGTTTGCTTTGTTTTAAACCGGAAGGCAGTACCTCTCAACATTAAAGAACCTACGTCTAACAACTTTTAATTATTGTATTTTGTTTCCAAACCCCTGTCTACACTTGAAGCGATGTAGGGGTCATTGATATACACCTGCGATTTTGCATTTTGCTTTATTGACCTGACATAAAATCATGAATGCTTTCCATTTTACGTTTTTTTTTTCCATAAATATTTTAGTGGCTGCACAACACCCTGTCATCATCTGTTACACATTTTCCTGGCGTGGGACACGAAGGTGGCTTCCAGAAGGCCCGTCTATATGCTGTCCACAAGAGCCTCGACTTCGGATGTAAGGATACATGCAGACGGAAAGTGAAGGGATGGAAAAGGAAATAAAAAGAGAGCCGAAGCAGCTATGCTTACATCAGACCCAACAGACTCTAAGACAAAGACTGTGATAAAAGATAAAGAAGGGAATTACATAATGACAAAGGAGTCAATCCAACAAGAGCACATACCATCGGTAAATATTAATGCGCCTAACACAGGAGCACCTAAGTATGTAAAGCAAATATTAACAGACCTAAAAAGAGACGGCGGCTTCCAGGTTACGTCCTTGCACAGAAGGAATCTCTTCTGCTCCTTTTTACTATTTCATTAGGACCCGTCCTCCTAGAAGAAAGTTCGCATTTACCGAACACCTGCTGTATACCGCTGACTTGATGGGAACCACCCATTATTTCCCCAACTCTGCGAGAGAGTATTTTTTAATTCCCAATTCGCAGGGAAGAGAGTACCTAACACTGCTCGGCACAGAGTAAGACCTCAGCACTTGCCAACAGCGAGAACTACTGCCGTGGTCCCGCCTCCACTCTCACCGCTAAGGTACTTGGCCCAAGACAGAGACCAGAAAGGGGCCTGGTCTGCCTGACGCCAAAGGGCCTGCGTTCCCACCCCCGGCTGTACCACACTGCCTTCCCGTGGCGGGGCCAGGTCAAAGGATCGAGCACCTTCATTCTCTTGCTGTGTTCCACCGTCGTCTTAGCGATTTTGAAATACTTGGGTGCTGTTTTGTCTCAGCTTCTCAGGTCACAGTCAGCCTGAGGTCTGTGCTCCCAGAAGTCACTCATCGCTTATCTCGATGTTTCCAGCACGTCCTGCTGAGGGTCTTTTTCTGTGCATCCCAGAGCCGTGCAGGCTTCCGGGCCAGGTAGGTCAAGAGGGTGGCCGAGGGCTTGCACGTTGGCAAGCAGCCGAGGTACTGGGCAGCTCAAGAATCCTCACCACAGTAGGGTCTATAGTGGCTGTGGGTCCGGTGCTGAGTCTCCTCGCTCTCCGGGGGGTGGTAGGAGAGAGAGCTGAGAGGAGTATTTCTCTCAGAAGGGAGACGGGACCCTGCCTGGGGGGGTAACTGCTGGGACCCAGCAGGTAGGTCCATTGGTCCTTGTTTGCCAGAACTGAAGCCTGGGCTCTGAGAGAGACTTCGGGGAGAAAGGCGCCGGCCAGAGGCAGGACGATGGACAGAGTCTTCAACCTACTCTCACCTGGCCCTTGAACTAATCCCGGGAGGCACTGCTTCCCCCTCCCTGTAGGGGACGGCCAGACGCCACGTGACGTGGCAGTGTGATGGGGTGAGGAGAGCCTGAATACGGCAAGAGCTCCCACCACTGAGCCTCTTCTGACCCCCCTCAGAGGTCTGCTAGTCTGCAGTGGCTCAGGGGACTTGCTTCTAGGGGTACAATGGCATGGCCTGTCTTCTACCCCCTTGTCCCCTCATGGACTGTGGCTTCCTCAGTCGGCATCACCACGTGGCATCCAGGGTTCCCTTAAATACACACGGAACAGAAGACTCTGTTTCCGAAAGGGGACCCCTCTTGCGCTGCTGGTGGGAATGCGAATGGGGCGGCCACTCTGGAAAACAGTATGGCGGTTCCTCAAAAAATTAAAAATAGAACTACCCTACGACCCAGCAATTGCACTACCAGGGACTTCTCCAAAGGATACAAAAATGCTGATTCGAAGGGGCACATGCACCCCAATGTTTATAGCAACGCTATCAACAATAGCCAAAGTATGGAAAGAGCCATCGACAGATGAATGGATAATTCATCGACGGATGAATGGATAATGGCATACTACTTGGTGATGAAAAAGAATGAAATTTTGCCATTTGCAGCAACACGGATGGAACCAGAGCATATTATGCTAAGTGAAATAAGTCAGAGAAAGACGATTATCATACGACTTCACTCAGATGTGGAGTTTAAGAAACAAAACAGATGAACACAGGGGAAGGGAAGGAAAAATAAGATTAAAACAGAGAGGGAGACAAACCATGAGAGACTCTTAAAAAACAGAGAACAAACTAAGGGTTTCTGGAGGGGAGGTGGGTGAGGGGATGGGCTGAACGGGTGATGGGCATTATGGAGGGCACTTTTCGGGATGAGCACTGGGTATTATACTTAAGAGATGAATCACCGGGTTCTACTCCTGAAGCCAACACTACACGGTCAGTTAACTGAGTTCAAGTTAAATGGAAAAAAAAGGAGGCTCTGATTCTATGAGTCATACAGAGAGATGGGAATGGATAGGTGAGCCGTCCTTCACTGAGCTCCGACCAGTGCCTTTTCTGACACTATGCTGTGCCTCTTCATTTCCGTTACTCAAGGCTCAAAGAAACGAGACCTCAAGGAAATAGTATCCCTACTTACAGATACGCAAATCGAGATTTAAAAGTAACCTTCCCAAGGTCACATAGCCAAATATTTGGTGAAGCCACGGTTCAAAGTCAAACATGCCTAATCACGAGAAACTTGTGTTCTCTCCCGATATTACAATGCCTTCCATAACCCCCAAACCTACACCCTCCCCGTGCCCGACTTTACACATCAGACTTTTTAAAAAGCAAACCAGGTGTTAATTATTTTCAAATTTTATTTGAAGCTGAGAACAACTGTTTAAAGAAAACTGTCAGTGGATTTATGTACTCTGGGAAAACTGAACTGGAGAAGGCAGACACTTTTACGGCACCTCATCCGCATGTGGTCTTAACAACCTGATCCCAAACAGGGAACTCAGTGTGCTGCAGGGCCGGTGACACATCACTCACTTCCAAGGCTGTTTTCTACATAAAACTTTCCACGCGGGGCTTCCTTTGCCAGCGAAATGTAAATGTGCGCTGTCTTGTTTTGGGTGCAGGGGTGAAGTGGGTGATCGTGAACCACTCACCCTCTTTCACGGTCAACCACATACTAGTTAGGAAAGTCAGAGGGGTGGGATAAAGGAAGGGAGTTATCTTTTAGAAGGGGGTAACTTAAGGCGTTCTCAGCCCAGAATCTTTCCCTTTTTAGGAAAACAAAGAAGATAACGAGTGTGGTGGGGGAGGGTAAGCTCAAGTCTACCTACAGAAGTACTGAACTATCACCTTCCCTTGCTTTTGATTGAGTTGACTCTTGCGTGAGTTAACACTGGTTGTCGCAGGTTGACCAGAAGCCCTATGTGCAGTTACATTATATATCTGCTTGACTTAAAAAAAAAAAAAAAAAAAAAAGGAAGAATGAATTAATTGTGAGTGCAGTGTGTTTGGAAGACATGAAATCTTAAGACGTGAAGTCTGTGGGGGAAAAGCTGATAGGTATAAAAACAGAGGAGAGGGGCGCCTGGGCGGCTCAGTTGATTGAGCATCCGACTTCGGCTCAGGTCATGATCTCGCAGCTCGTGAGTTCGAGCCCCGCGCTGGGCTCTGTGCTGCCAGCTCAGAGCCTGGAGCCTGCTTCGGATTCTGTGTCTCCCTCCTTCTCTGCTCCTCCCCTGCTTGTACTCTGTCTCTCTCTCTCTCTCTCTCTCTCTCTCAAAAATAAATAAACATAAAAAAAAAAAAAAAACCAACAGAGGAGAACCACTGGGCTTACCTCAGGAAGCTGCAAAACAAAACAAAGCACAAAATTCCTTAACTAAGATCTGCGTGAGACTGCAATGTTTTGGGAGGTCCTGAGTAGTCAGAAAGAATCATGTCCTTTCCACAAGTAGGTCCCTCTGGATCCTAAGATGGAGAAACCAATAAGGGGATAAGAGGGGACCGAGCAATCACCAAAAAGCTGATGGTAAAGATATCTGAACACTCTCTGCATTGAAGGCTCTGCCTACATTTTGCCGCGTTAACAAGTTTCTTTACAGAGGTTTAAAACGTGACCAGTTCAAGCAGTGATTCTAAAAGGAAGTTTTGTGAAATCCCTGAGGCATATGAGGCACTGCTAGGTGAGGGGATGCAGGTTTGATAAACTGGTGTTGGCTCTTCCAGAGGCTGAATCAATACCGTGCCAGATTTCTGTGGGGAAGAGGACACAGAGAATAATGGACGAGATTTCCGTAGTTTCAGAAAAGGTTGAACTGGAATATTTCAGCCAGGTGAGGGACTGGGGACTGCTCAATCAGCAGCCGCACGGTTATTATTTCTATGCATAGAAATATGCCACCATCCAACCTGTCCTCCCCCACTGCCATGGATGTCCAAATAGGAAACCATGAATATACTAGATCATACCATCTGCTCCGTCTGTTCTTCCTAATGCTCTATCCTGGACCACATTTCTAAGCATATTAATAGAAGAGTACCACCATTTAACCAAGAACGCAGACTCCAGACCAAACTTCCCACTGGATCTGCAGACACGTGTGACATTTCCCAACAGGTGTGGCAACAGAGATGTTCAATTTCACTCCAAGGAAATTCAAATGAAACAATCAGATCCGTTTTTCATACATCGGGCT